CACCAGTAACTGGGAATCCCTCTCATGATCAGATTGTAAAAACGAAAGAGATGTGTATGTTGTGTCCTCACACTATAAGTAAATGTTATGCTGGATGCAAAACACATAAAAGTGAGATAGCAAAATTTGGATCATGATAACTTGAAAGTTAGAAATGATCCAGAGTGTTTTTTTCTTAATGAAGGCCCATAAGTTCTGACTGCCTCTCATTTACCTGCATTTCCCTTTTAAGAAAAATTCGGCCTTAACTTCCAACCAAGTTTACCATCTTGCCCATTCCCGATGCTCCACCATTTCAGCAAGAAAAACGCTGACACTAAGACTTCCTAGGAATGAGCCTTCCTAGCACATTATCCAACCAAGAGGTTGGTCATCAATGCATCTGAAGATGAACAAAAGGGGAAAGTGTGCACAATAAAGGGACCACATACTGAACATGACAAGCTCAGAGAAGGCCTGCATGGCTGGCCTTACAAACTCAGAGACTGAAAGTAACCACATAGGATAGTCAGAACATAAAAATTCCTAACTAAAAGCAAGTTATGGTGGTAGTCAAGTCCTAGGCCTGCAACTTTCTTAACAAAGGTCAATCTTTATTTTAACTGAGGCTGTCTAGTGTCTTTTTGCATCCAATATAACATACCTTTGAGATGTCAGAGTAATCTTTTTCCAGATCCCTCAAGGCACAACCATAGCACCAGAGCACAGAAGCCTTCATTATTATCTTGTTTCTCACATATCATCTATGTGCTTTAAATGATAATTATTAACTATCCTATACCCACCAATGTAAAAGAAGGATGTGTCCCTCCAGTTTATTTTTTATCCAATCCCAGAGATTCCCCCTTCCTGTTCTCCCACCCTCTTAATCTCCCACCACTGGATTTCATGTAACCCTCCTTAGTCTCTTCCTTTTATTCTAATGTGTAAAATAAGCTGCAAAAACCTCTGGAGCATTTTCTCAATCTGTTGAGATTTTGCTTCCTACCAATTGTCAGTTTGACTCAAATAAACTCATAAAAGTTTTTTTAAAAATGGATTGGCTTTGTTGATGATAGCCATTCTGACAGGTGTGAGATGGTACCGCATTGTCATTTTGATTTGCATCTCTCAGATGATTAGTGATTTTGAGCATGTTTTCATATGTCTCTTGGCCTTCCTTATGTCCTCTTTCAAAAAAGTATCTATTTAGGTCTGTTGCCCATTTTTTGATTGGGTTGTTTATTTTCCTTTTGTTAAGTTGTATGAGTTCCCTGTAAATGTTGGAGATTAAACCCTTATCGGTGATAACAATGGCAAATATGTTCTCCCATGCAGTGGGCTTTCTTCTTGTTTTGTTGATGGTTTCTTTTGCTGTACAGAAGCTTTTTATATTACTAATCATCTGAGAGATGCAAATCAAAATGACAATGCAGTACCATCTCACACCTGTCTGAATAGCTATCATTAACAAATGACAAGTGCTGGTGAGGATGCAGAGAAAAAGGAACCCTTGTGCACTGCTGGTGGGAATACAGACTGTGGAGAATAGTTTGGAGTTTCCTCAAAAAACTAAAAACAGAACTCCCATTTGACCCAGTGACCCCACTTCTAGGAATATATCCCAAGAAAACAGAAACACCAATCAGAAAGGATATATGCACCCCTATGTTCATAGCAGCACAATGTACCATAGCTAAGATTTGGAAACAGCCTCAGAGCCCATTAGCAGATGAGTGAATTAAAAAACTGTGGTGCATCTACACAATGGAATACTAGGCTGCTATAAAAAAGAAGG